TGAATACTAAGTGTGTTCAAATGTGACACTGAGTTAAATGCCTATTTATTTAAAGATAAATTTCTAAAATGTGTGTTTTCACTGCAAGGAGCTAGAGATCTAGGGGAAGTTGATCGGCAAAAGAGTTTGAGTTGCTTATAAAACTGGAGTCTCATTTAAACTGGAAACTTGCCTTTTAATTATGTCACACAAATACTTGTGGAAACTTTCCTAGACACCAATTGTAATTCAGTGGTTTCTTGAAAACAGCATATTGTTGCTAAGGGATTCATTATAAAAAAAAAAAAGAGAGGAATTTCAAAAGAAGAGAGAGGGAGATAAAGAGGGTGAGACAGGAGGAGGAAAAAAATGTAAAATTCACATTTTATAATTAGAAATTCAAGCAGAAAAGTGGAAAAGTCTTCACAATGCCGTATGTTTAGACTTCACTTTTTTAAAAAATAAAAAATGGGCTTGGATGCCAGGCCGGTGTGGCAAGGCGGCTGAGCATCGACCTATGAACCAGGAGGTCACGGTCAGGGCACATGCTGGATTGCAGGCTCCACCCCCAGTGTGGGGCATGCAGGAGGCAGCCAATCGATGATTCCCTCTCATCACTGATGTTTCTATCTCTCTCTTCCTTTCCCTTCTTGTCTGAAATCAATAAAAAAAATATTTTTTAAAAAAATTGGCTTAGACTTTTGCCTTATTCTCTCATTCCTTTTCCTAAAGGTTTCCACCAAGCTACTCCTGGCCGATGCAGAACAGTGTGTGTAGCCCGGGCATTCTCCCACAACAGCTCAGAGCCCAAGTCTTGAGTGATCAGGCGCTACCATTTGGAACTAACTCTCAGTCTACTTTTCAGTCGACCAGACCCAACTATGGACAGGTATGAGAATCCATGAAAACCTGTTGTAAAACTGGTGGCGAAAAAGATAATCAGCAAAAGTAATTGGTCTGAGACCAGGGCTGTCAGACACTTGGAAAGTCAGACACCACAGCACCGCCCAACTTCCAACCAGGGATGCACTCTGAGGAGAAAGTATTCCTTCATTTCCTGGTATGATCTTGCTAATGTGAAAATACGGCTCTTTGAGCTCCAAGAAATCCAGTGCCAATAATGGATTTTGGAGAAGAAGGGAGTGGAAGGAGGTAAAATCCTGATGTGGAACAATTTGTTTATGAATAGAATTGAAATACTGAGAATGTCAGAAAGGGAAGGTCAGAAAGGAGACTGGACTGGAGCCTGGAAGCCCCATCTCAGTTCTGTGTGACTTCAGGGGAGTCACTATCCCCCAGACATCATTTTTCCTCTCTACTAAATTAGAAGATTGAGTAAGATGGTCATGAGTTTTTTTTCCAGCTCTAAGATGCAAACAAAGATACTAAAGTATTTTTCAAAACCTGAAATAATGACTTAGAAAGATTTTGTTTTTAAAGTCTAGTATCTAGGCAAGAGAAGTTACGTCCAGGAGATGGGGTTGTTCAGTAACAGAGCTAACTAAACTGGGGTGCATGCCTACGCTGCTTGGGGTGCTTTGAGAGCAAAGAGCCGCCACCAAAACATGAGGGACTTCTGGTCACTACCTCTTGGGTACCATTCGAAGAGCCCTCCTGCAACATTTCACATGTCCCTCCCTCTGGCTGGCTTTCAAAGCTCAGTCAAATGGAGCAATGATCATGAGTCTTTTGATGGACTTGTAGAATAAGGTGGACAGAACATGTTAATGAAGATGTTTCCTTGTAGGTAAGGGCGAATTAGGTAGTTACTGTCTATCACCCTCTTAAGTTTATCAATCCTTTCCCCCAAATTAGGTCCAATTTGAACACCAAGGACATGCAAATGGGCAGTAGGGGAGGAAGGTGTCCCTAAGACAAGTTCTGTCCATTTTGAAGATGGAGGCCCCAGAGCAGCTCTTCAGAAGTCAACTCAATCAACAGTAAGTAACTTCTAGGAAATGGAGTCCATAGCTTCCTCTTTAACCCAAGTAAGAGGAGCGAGAAAGAAGGAGAGGGGAAGTAGGAAGAGAGAGAGGGAGAGGGAGCGATGCCTAGAAGCAGAAGGGGAGACATACCGGTGAATGGG